TTGTGTGATTCCTCGGAGAATCGGTCATAACATGTAATCCCGTGGAGGATTGGCTAGAGTATTTGATTCCGTGGAGAATCTGCTGAGTACTTGATCCCGTGGGGGATCTGCTGAATATTCGATTCTGTGGAGAATCTGATGAATATTTGATTCCGTGGAGAATCTGCTGAGTACTTGATCCCGTGGAGGATCTGCTGAATACTCGATTCCTTAGGGAATTTGTTGAATGAGTCGGTACCGCATTTGCATCTGCATAGAGTCGTGTGTCGGTCTCTATGAGTTGCATGAGTCATCTGTGTATGATGCATTAGTTGAATGAATATAACTGTGTATGTTATATATGATTGTCTGGATGAACATATAGTGAATATTCTTGTGTATGTATAGAGACATGATTAATTGTATATGCTTAATGTGGTGAGAACATAAATTGAGTATGACTGGTGCAATTATGGATATATGTATATATACAATTTTATGCATTAACTGTTATGATATTGTTTCTCACCCTTCTGCTGTTTTATAATGCTCTATGAGGCATTGCAGAGTAGGAAGCTGGAGGTTCTTTTTGTGAAGCGATGTCTTCATTCTTTTTGGTCAATGGCTCTGATATGTAACATCTGGGTAGTTAGGAAGCCTTTGACTCTTTTGGAGTTACATTGTTTTGATTCTTTTGTGATACATATGTGTATGTATCTGCTGTGGATATGTTGTAAAGCATGAATTAACTGATGGTTGTATATACTTTTATGAATGTGATTGATTCAATATTTGGATGTTTCCGCTATTAGTCTAAATATTGAGATGTGGTTTACCCATTGTTGCATATCTATCTTGAGCAGATATCGTTTGTGTTTAATTTCATGATAATGTGATGCGCCTTTTTTTTATACCATGTTTTAATTAAACTCTGATGAAATAAATATTCTAAGTGCCTAATTGATTTATTGTATTAATTTGGGGGTATAGAAAGGGGGTGTTACAGACAGCTCCACAACTTTCTCCATTGAGAATTACGAATGGCAGTGTGAGATACAGAGGAAGATTCGGTCATTCATTTTTTCAAAATTCTGAATCAAGGTGACAAGGACGACAAATCTTATTTTCAAATCATATCTACAACAAGTAAGTATTGATGTTCTAATCTCATATAACTGATCAGAAATTTTTCCACTTACATTTAATATCAGAGCTTAATTATATGAGTTATGACTCAATTGTTTGTCGTTAATATATGATTATGAATTAAGTGTAAGAATTATTTTTATAAAATTTTAAACAATTGCTACAATTAATTTCTAATCGTTGGATTTTTGGATACTGTTCACACTAATTAGACAAATTTAATTTTATTTCCGTGACTTGTTTATGATGTTGCAAAGAAAATAATTAAAATATGAGTATAATTTGAAGCAATAGAGATCGGTGAGAAACCATAGGTGCTACCAGTATCCGTCAGCACTGCTTTAAGTACTTATGAATTGTATTCGTTATTATTTGTCACTATACGATTTTACTTTTATGCGTGTATGTATATAGGCAATTCATAGACAATTTACCGACTCTACTGATAAGATTTAAATCCAGCCCTAGACAATTGTAATTAATCAAATGCAAACAAAACAAGGATCAATAAATCTATCAACTAATATTTCAACAAAATTTAAATTGAATTCTAGATTGATCTAAATTTTACCATTAACTAATTGAGATCGATTGATGTATTTAGTCGGAGCGTAATGACTTGATCGAATTATGTATATATCATAGTCGTAATTTATTGAGTTTTTTTATTGTAGTACCCTATTTTTGAAATTTTAATACTAAAATACCTACTTTAAAAAATAATTTCTCAGATGCCCTTGTTTATGTACGTGCTCGGCCAATGAAGTGGCGAGCAGATGGAGAAATTGCATGCACGTAGGTGCTCCGTCAATAAAGTGGCGAGCACCTGAATATTTTTTTTGTTTTTTTGTTTTTTCAGATTATTTTATTAATTAAATAGTTTAAATAATTTTAATTATTAAAAACATATTTTATTAGTTTAATAATATTATAGTCATTAAAAATAAAGTTTTATTAAATATTATAATTAAATGTAATAATTAATATATTAAAAATATATAATTTATTCAAACAACATTAAATGTAATAAATATTTTTTATTGATTATTAACAACTAAAATACATATCATCAAAAATGGTCGCCCGTTCTACACCTAGTGTCCTTTTTTTGTCGATGTCCCCTTCCTAACTGTTCATTTGGATTTCTTGGAGGTGATGGCGATGAATCGGAAGACATATCTTGATGGTGATATGTTGCAGGGGGTCTGCTTTCCTGAAAGGGGGTGTGCTTGCCTTGAAGGGGGGCTCGAAAAAAGGTCTTCTATGTTATAATCTGGCATTTCCATAAGTTGTTCCTCCGTCAACAAATAATGTTGAAATGAATGCGATGGTATTTTGTAGGTATCGGGTTGGGTATGTTGGATGGGTGGGTAATAGACATCATCAGTCGTGAAGGTAGAGGTGGGCTGAGAGAATGAATTGTTAAAGGTTTGGTGTTAAGATTGTGGGTTTGATTGGTCGAAGTTTGGCAGAGAAACTAAAGTGAATGGTAAGGGTGGTCGAAGGGTGGATTGGTGTTGATATTGTTGGTTGTAGTTGTAGTAATAGTTTTGTTGAAGGAGTGGAGTGTTGGGAGTTTGGTGTTGGGATGAGGTTGCGTAGAAGGTGTGTTGTTGGTATGTTTGTTGAGCGGAGGAAGATGCGGGTCCCCAAAATTGGGATGTGTACATCGGTGGCACATCGTGATGTATTGGCGAGACAGTTGGTGTGTTGAAGACGACGCATGCCTACGAGGGTCGTTCAAAAATTGCTTTGGAGCAATATGCACATAAGGAATTGCGTGAAACCAATTCAAATACTCTCGGCTTGACTTACGTTCACCAACTATTGTGTCCCCTGCGAAACCAAATATCTTCTATGTTTCCATTCTTTCACCTCATCTTTGTTTAATTCTTGCCAATGATCTTTTTGGACTTTTTTCATAGTCATTTCGTAGTGTTCCCTTAGACACCTTGATTGGGAAGGAATTTCTTGTTCAAACCCGAACTGGAGTTTGACCCTATTTGTCCAATGCATTTCCACAGTATAGAAACAGATAAGAGAAGTCGTAACACTTCAGATCCGACTATATCTATGATTGGGCACCGGGAATTGAATGTACGACCTCCATATAAACTGTTACAAAATAAAATAAAAGTAAAGTTATAATATTGTGTAAGAAGTCTAAAAAACATGTAGGTTCGATGGTTTCAAACTCACGTCTCTTTCTTACATGTGATCCAGTGCGTTTTGATACCCTTGTAGATAAAAACGAGGATTATTGTCGTAATTCATACCTTATTAGGACCATCTTGCAGACACAAAAATGTATTAATGTTAGGTTTAGTTGATTAAGAAGATAATAAAGTGCATTTATATATTAGGGATACCTTTGAGTGTATGGAAACGACGACTGCGATGTACTAACAGAAGCAAATAAGGGTATACATGTGAATGCCCAAGTAGTGAGTAGTACAACACAATCACTCATGCTTCTAACATCTTTGACCGCAGCATTGCACATATTTCTGTACAATGTTGCCAGACAAACAGAACCCTAACTAAATGTGTTGTATTATTTTAGATCCGCACGAAAGAAATAAGAATACAACAGATTGTGACTCTTGTCTGAGAACAAAATAGTAGCAATTACAAGTAAAATATATAGTTTGGCTTATAAAATATTATCCTCCTGAATTAAAGAAGATTTATTTTTTAAAGTTTCATATAATATATTTTTAATAATTAAAATTATTATTAAAACTATTAAAATAATATATTAATCTGAAAAATTAAAAATAACAGAGTGCTCACCACTTTATTAGCTGACCACCTACGTGGTTAAAAAAATTTGTCTGCTCACCACTTCATTAGTCGAGTATGTATTATCATTGGAATACCTGAAAAAAAAAATTCAAAGTAGAGTATTGTAATATTTAAATTTCAAAATTATGGTAGAACAGTAAAAAAAAAACTCTAATTTATTTATAAGGACAAAATAAACATTTTCTTTATATTGTAGTTGAATTCCATTTGTTTGAATTCAGAGTATTTGAAACTCTGTCGTATTTTTTTTAACGAGTTTTGAGTATTTGTGCTCGCATTAATAAAAACAACTTCTTAGAATCAACACTTAAAAAAGAACTTGCATAATAAATTCGAATGAAAAAGTTAGTATTTCTTTAGTAAACTACGTGCTACCTAGTACTATACAAAATATATAAACAGAAAAGTAGAAAAGAAAAATAAATAGAAACCGACACACATGAATATCAAAACAAATTTTATACTTGTTTCATTTAACTTACAGGATTGCTATGTTGACACCCATCTTTACACCCTACACCTCAATTACTGTTCACAAATACTTGAACAAATTTCCTAGAATATGGTTAATAGTGTGTATTTTATTGGTTAATGAAGTAGTGAAAGTGGTTAATAAATTATAGGTAAAATAATTGGTTAATAATGTAGATTTTTGTGGTTAATGCAACTGTGAAGTTGGTTAATGCGCAATCTTATATTTGTGTTATAAAATAAATTTTAAAAATAAAACTTTTTTAAAAAAAAAATTAATATTTTAAAAAAATATATTATTTTAATAAAAAAAACACTGTTCACCGTATAAATACGGTGAATAGTGCATACGGTGTAAGTATTGGGTGTAGGAAATGGTGTAGGAATAGCATTTTTCTTTAACTTATGATTAAAACATATAGCAATTGAAATAGATCAACCGACAAAATCCACATTACAAGACAAAACAATTCGAATTCTGACACAGAGTGAAGCCAAAGAAAACTGCATTATGAGAATCTAGTCTAATATAGTAATAAATTCTCAAACCCCTTTAAATTATTGTTCTATTATCACTCTTACTTCCAGTATGGTTGAGTCTATAACTCATACGTGCACTTGTTGGTAAGTGGAATGGGCACACCCATTTTCTTCGGATCCATAATCAAACCACACTCTATTTTCTTGTTGAACTTAGGTTTCACCAATTGCCCCAATACATAAGCCTTTGACCTTATTGTCACACTCAATGTCAAGAAAACCGGTTCAACCGGTGAACCGTTCATGCTGTTTAGTCTTGCTCCACCTCCATAGAGTGGAACATGGTTTCCTTGCACCATCACATGAATAGATCTCCCACTTTTTCTTGATTGGTAAAACTTAGGAATCTGAAATTCATACATAATAATTATTTATTAATCAATTAATAGTCAAACAATTTATTTATTCATTTATACACTTACATTTCCAGTGGCTAGTGTAAGCGCATAGTAATTGAGATCTAATGGAGTTGATGTAACATGGACTCCAAAAAATGTTGCTGTGTTTCTATATGTCATTTTCACAGTTGAATTCATTGACACCATGCTTGTTGCAACTCCGGAGACATCCGCACCCGCTTGAATAACAAATCTATCAAATGTTACACTCTGAAAAAATATATAATATTATATTAATCTCTGCAGTTAGACGCAGATGATACTGGTAATATATCATTTATATAAGAGAATAGGAAAAATGTACCTTGAGGAAAATGACGGGTTTTTGAGGGCGACTTGCAGCCCAAAGAACGATAGCGAAAACGGAGAAGAGAACCATAAAGCAAAGAACAAAAGCCGGAAAGAAGCATCGCCGAGGGAAGCCGTGATAATCATCGTCGTGATCATCGAGAAGACCTTCCTCTTCGATGGGATAGAAATGATCCTTCCACGGTCGCCATCTCCGGTTATGTGAAGCATTGCTACTCTTGCGAGAGGCGGAGAATCTGGTGGAGGAAGATTCACGGGAATGAGGGCCTAAGGAGGAGTTGGAATGAGAATGAGGAGGAGAGGCTAATGGGCTTTGAAGCGGGCTTGAATTGAAGGAGTTAGAAGTTTTCTCGTCGTTGGATGAGTCGCGTGATGGGCTTATGACGTAGTAGACGGGGCGTCGGGGTGATCTTGTCGGGGAGGATTGGGTTTGGCTGCTTACCTCGGAGTCTGTTTTGGCTGACACTGAAATGTGGCTGTTGTGTTTCATTTTTTGAGGTTTGTGGAAGAGAGAAAGAGAAGTGTTGTTGTTGTTAGTGTGATTGGTTTGATGTATGGATGAAGAAGTGGAATCTCCATGGCGTAATTGTTGGGGCATACAAGGCTGAGTGAGCCAGGTGTGAATGAATATTTTAATTTTTTCTAGATTTGTTTACTGTTTACAAAGCTTTTGCGTGTGACGCGTAATTAATACAACAAAGGAACCTGGACTATGTCAGATTCACGGATTTTGCTACTTATATTTTACTTGAGAATTTATCGTCAAACACTCAAAATTTAAACCCCACGGTTTTCTATAATACTTGTAATATCTATCAAAATTTTAGTCAAAAGTTCAGTAGAAGAATTAAAACATTTGGTATAAATAAAAATTGTTAGTCTTTATTAAAAAAATCGGGTATGTTATTAGAGATTAATTACTATACAATGTTAAAGTTGTATACTGTTAGTTTATTATCATCATCTGTTGATATTATTTTATTAATTCTTAAAATAAAAGTCAAACTTCTGTAAAATTCTTTTACATTATTAGTCATTTCAATTAAATCCATATTATTATATCGTTTTTTTTTTGAAATTGATATATTGAAAAACTTGTCGGTTTTTCAAAAACACTATGTTTTACTTGTAATTTTTGAAAAACTTGAAAATTTTGATACTTTAAAAGTATCGGTTTTTTAAAAACCTCGTACACTTATTGGATTTTTAGAAGATCTATCAAAAATCTGGTAGTATTATGCTCAAGGGTTGAGATTTTGTACGGTTGTGATTGCACTGACTGTTTTGTATGGTCAAGAATGAATCTAATCGGGTATAAGTATAGATCATGTGTTGTTAAGAAAAGTGTCTTACAATGTCTCACCATTTGTTTAAGGCAAAAGTGAACTTCAACAGAATGAAACCTTATGTTGAGTTTGGACACCACATGTCTCGCTCTTCAGAGATTCAAATTGAATAATATGTTGTCAGAAATCAAGAACATAAAGGAGAGTAAGATCGAGTTTCTTGCACCATGGATTGATAATGATGGAACGGTGAAATATGATCGTATTGAGTTGAATAGGGATGAAGATTTGAAGGATATGTGGAGAACATATCATCGTAGGCTAACTAAGGGACCGATCGAGTTTGATGCGACAATTTCTAGATTAGAGGACATAATTAAGATGTTGAAATGTTCAAAATCATCTTGAAGGGTTTAGGTTTTATTATTTATTATTGTTTTGTTAGATTATGTAATCGTTTGTTTAAAGTTATGATAATCGTCTTATGTTATGTAATTTGTCAAATAATAATTATCTTGTAATAATGACAGTGACAAAATGTTATCTAATAAACTATGCGGTGCAAAAGTATGACTAATATACAAATAATATAAAAATGATAATAATGTCCAGATAAGTCCGCACAAGCTAAGTGTGTTTCCTATGATGCCAAAGTATAAACCTAACTATCAGGGTTTACCATGAGATTATCCATAATGAATGTTATCATTTGTATGTGGTAAGCGTCATCCGCGCCATGTGGAGGCAGTGGAGGTGGATGCACGACATCAAAAGACCCCCCAGCGTGAGAATGTCCAGCATTATCTCAATGATGCCCAGGTTGGATGATGTGAGAGTGTGATACAATAAAGTACCACTTCAAGTATTTATCTACACACTACATAGGAAACTGAACCTCCATTGTACGATCTGTAAAGGCACTGGCAGAACCGATAATGTTACTCCCAACAAACCATTTATCAATTCCTTTAAATGGAATAGCAGGGACTGATCGTGGGATATCCAAGACATATTCAGAATGGCGCAGACACCTCTCAGGTAAATGTCTAGCCACTAAGGTCTCTCAACGTAGATAACCTAAAAAAATGAAGTGTCATCGAACTCTTGATGCACTTTATGGTCTGCGTATGGTGTCTAGATGACATCACCTACACTCAGTACATCAATCTTCTTCTTGTTCTCCACAACACCTCTTAAGTCTGCATGCCTAGACTTCCATCTTTTGACCCGTGTGGAGCCAACAATGGTAGGAATAACCCGACTCTCACAAATAAAGGGGAAATACTCGCATATCCAACATTGCACAAGAACATAGGCAAATCAATAAATGTCATAAATAAGAACCAAATCAATAAGTAACAAAATAAATTCATACCTGAAATAGACTCATATAACTGGCAAGCTTCCTAGTCTCAAAGCCAATCGCCTCTCCAAGTGAAGCATATAAAATAGTAAGTGCAACAAACCCTCATGCCCAGATGACATGGGGAAGGCTAATAAATAGCCGAATGTACTTCACATCAATATATACATGAGATTTATGTGCTAAGATAGTACATCGTACAAGATGTAACATGTATACCCCTAGCAGATGTCTCATACATAGACTGGCGCACTAGGTCAGCATACTTATCCCAGAGTCAAGATAGGCAAAAGTGAGCATCCATGTTAGCTTTAAACTCATATATCACCTACTCCTAAATAACTCCCAAGTCTTGTATATAGGTAATACATGTCAGCTGCTGGCTAATGAAGGGAGCGGTGAAGAAACTGCATGCCATGGGAAGATGGAACAGCGAAGAGACATCATCCAAGGTAATCATCATCTTACCAAATGGAAGATGGAAGGAAGATCTCTCATTATGCCATCGCTCAGCAAAGGTTGTCAATATTTGATCGTCGAGCATCGTCAGTAAGCAGTCCACTAGTGAAAGGAGACTGAGCTCTTCAACAATTGCGTTGACCTCTTGTGGCATTGGGGCATCTAAGAACTTTTTGAGCTTCACCTCATGGGTGGGCACTTTCAGCGACAGTCGGTCCTGTGAAAAAACAAGTAAAAAGGATCAGTTATTTTCGACGTGTCAATAATAAATAGTCAAGTTCAACATAGCATATACATACATCTCTTTGCCATAATCTGAATGCCACATGATGATCAACATATCCAGTGAGCACAAAACAGTCACTGGTCCCTCCAAGAAACCCTTCATCTGTGTGTACAGACAGCTCTATCAAAGTCGGAGTAGTAACCTCTATCACAACCAGAGGAATAACCTTCATATCACTTGTAACAAACACCTCAGTAACCGTCTGCAGAGTAACCTTTGTAGTAGTTGAAGCCTCCGTCTCAAAATGATGGGGCACATTATCCTCGGCCACCATCTTTAGGGGTGTTCATGGGTGTTGGTCGATCCTCGAACCCACTGACCCAAACTAAACCAACCCATAAATTACTCAGACCCATTCATTTACGCGTATATCCAACCCAACTCACAATAACCCGTATAGTTTTGGTTCAGGTATCAGGTTTGAGTTTTACAACCCGCGGATCCGACCCAACCCATTGATATGGCTTTAGTAATTTCTTATTATTTTAAATAAAAATATAAAATTAATATCTCACTAATAACCATAATATTTTTTAAAAAAATTATTCTCCACCAACAATACTACTAGATCAATGAGTTTATATAATTCTAAGATTAAATATTGTTTATTATTGTCTTTTGTATCTTTTCCAACTCATGTATTTTATGGAAATAACATATCTTGTTGAATTTTATATTATTATCAAGTGTTATGTCGTGTTGATGAATTTTATTAGATATTATATGATGTGCTTCACAAAATTTGAGTGTTATAAATAAGTATGATTATATTGAGTTGTGTTACATTTTTTTTAAATAGACAAAAAGAATCATAAAACAAATATTTTTTATTTGAAACACAAACCGCGAACCCAACCCAACTCATAAATAAATGGGTTAGGTCGAGTCGGTTTTGACAATGAAATTGCGGGTTAGATGACAAACCCAACCCATTAAAGTTTAAAGGGGTTGGGTAACGGGTTAGGTCAAACCCGGTCCAACCCAACCCGCGTACACCCCTAACCATCTTCCTGTCATCCTCAACAACTGGCTTATCATCGGGATCTCTAGTCCATCCAACAGAAGGTTTAGATCTTCTAAGTCGGGTACTGCGGGGTGCACAAAATTTCTCGGCTGCCATCCGCCTCTCGTGAGAATCAGTCAAGGCTACTTTTTTCGCCCGAATATACGTCCTCGACGTCATCTCCCTTCGCACGAGCCCTCGCTGCATCTTTGTCACGCTACCTAGAAAACACCGTGTTGTCTGATTCCCTAGTCCTCGCTGGAAAGAAAACAATTCCCTTTTAAACTACTGAATTTTTTAATATCCGAAAAAATTCATGCTTTTTTTTTATTTTCTTGAAAATTTTGATTAAACAAAAAACTATTTTTAACTGTTGGTTTTTGCAAAATCAACGGTATAAATGCATGCATTCTTACCAATTTTTTTTCAAAAACAAATCTTGTAAAACCCATGCACTTTTACTGGTTATTTTAAAATATCTTACCTAAATCATGCATTTTTATCGATTTTTTCAAAATATTCAGTAGAAAATATGCACTTTTCTCAAACTTTTCATAAAAACCAAAAGAATGTATTTTTTTTTACTGGTTTTTTCAAAATATTCGATAAAAATGCATGAAAAACATGAGTTTTTATCGGACATTTTTAAAACTCCGATAAAAATGACTGTATTTTTCCAAAAAATCCCAGTCAAATTATAAAAATTTGATAAAATTAAATAGTTACCGGTCATAAATGCAGTAGTTTGAATAAAAAATCTGGTATTCACAAAGAGTTTTTTGAAATTCTCAAAATGTTACAATAGAAGAGTAAAATGAATTTTTATATTTCATAAGGTTATTATGGTCATTGCATAATAGTCGGGAGTGTCAGGTCAAATATGAAGTGTGAGAGGATAAATTATCATTTTACTCTCTCCATCCCAAATTATAATTGAACTTCTTACATGATTTAAGAAATTCAATTAATTTTGTATGAGAAATAAAAATTATGTATAAATTTACAATATTATTATTCATTAATTACTTAGAAAGGAGAAAAAATTGGTAGAAAGAAGAGTAATAAATAGTATAAGATATATTAGAAGAGAAAAAAAATCATTAATATTACATTAGAATGGTAAAACAGCTTATAATTTAAAAAAAAAATTATAAATTAACTTATAATTTTGGACAAAGAGAATAACCAATATTTTTAAAAAGGTTTTTTTTTCTTTAATTTACACCGTATATTTCTCAAATTTTATTCAACATTTTATATGTAATATTAAGAAGATGAAGAAAACTTTGTTATCTTTTAAGTATGACAACAAAACTCAAATCTCTTCCCAAATTTAACTTAGAGCAGGAGTTTTGATACCTACCTCGCACACACCATCGCATTCATCTAATTTATTAAAATTACTATAAAAAAATGTATTTATTGATATATTTTTTTAAATGTACCCTTATTGAGATAGTATAGTTTTTTTATGATTTAGATTTTAGAACTTTGATTTAAACTGTATGATTAATTTATATTAAATATTATTATTCAATTATATTATTAATGTTTGATGTTAGAGATTTAAAAACACATAAGTATTACTTTTTTATTAAATAAAATTGTGTTTCGCGATAGTCATGGACTCAATGACAAATATGTCCAATTATCCGTTCAAAGATGTATCCACGAAAGGATTGAAGATTCAATGCACTTATAGATATTTGATCCGTACTCGATGCACCTCACATGTGATTACCCACAAGTATGATTTAACGACTTACGTGTTCCATGCTAGAAACGTAGGGTGATTCTAACTGTCTCTTGCATATAATGCATCCACGACATGTCTGTAGGTACGTTTTTCAACCATAAATTGCTTCATTATTTGAACTCATTAATTAACTTAGACATTGGAGTGTTAACCTTGCAGATAACCCCTTAGTTCCATCGCCTTGGAGAGCATCGTCCATCGTAGAATTCGTTTCACAATCTCAAATTGATCATTTCTAGTTCCTGGAACCGTATAGTGGCGCCTTATGTGGAAATTTTACTTCAAATTCTTACAAACTCCACAATCAGATCCCTCTGATTTCAAAATCTTAAGTTGATTAAGCGAGTTTACGTGAAGAAGATGATGACGACCAATATAGCTACTAAAGACATCATAAGTTTCCCAACTTCGAGATCTTTTTGTTTCTTCTCAATTGATTTAATCGATAGTGAGTCTGCTACCAACCCTTATAACTCCTTCCACTAAATTGTTTGTATTATCCCGACTAAGGACTCAAGGGTTTGCTACCAAATTCAACCCCCTAAATTCAAAATTATCACTAACAATAATAAGGTTTTCAAGGGATTGGGTGAATGTCAAAGGAGTAAAATTTAATATTTTTGGATGTACTACCCCGGTGTCAAATGAAGCATCATCTTTACAATTACCACTAGACATTTTTACAAAGTAATGGCCAACTTAAGAGATAAACCAGGTGAAAGTGTTGTGTTTGGACCTAAGATTGTTCAACTGACTACTAAAAAGACTGATAATTCAGGAGAAGATGAAGGCATCATAGAGCAGATAGAAGAATTATCATGATAAGCGAAGAAATGCACTTGAATTTCAAAATGGTACTTAGAGAAAATTAGAAGTAAGAAAAGAAATCTAGGATGGAAGGTCACTCTAAAACACAAATGTTCAAGGAAGTTGCTAAATTCAAAGGGAGAAACAGACAAATAAAGTAATACACCACTAGAACTCAAGGAGAAATAATTGAACTTGGTAAGAGACTAAAATGAAAGACAATTTGGATAAAAACGGGAAACATAATTTGAAAGGAGAAATAATCCTTATATAATATTGTAAGGAAGATAAATCAATGACTCGGAATGAAGATAGACAGAAAATATCAATGGTCTGATTCACCTCGAGATCATAACGACACTCGAGTGCATTTGAGCACCCTAAAGGAGAACACCTCATTCTATCCTAGAGACCTAGGGCCATATGTAAGAACAACCGTGCAAAGATGTTTCAATGACAAGATTGGCATTTAATACACTCAAATCCCAAGGTCACTCAGTTCGGCTCCTCAAATCTTTTCCACTTGGAAACTAGGTATGAAGACCCAGTCTAAGGCATCGTCGGTCCGGTGTTATAAGAATTTCTCATTGATGTGCTCTAGCAAGCCTTAAGGGCAATTGTTCCCAACCAACCGTGTGCTCAATTATTCGTCCAAATGTGTACCTGTGAAAGGATTAAGAGTTCAATGCACCTACAACTATTAGATTCATACTCGTCCACTCCACAGACGATTACCTACCGTTATATATGATGTAACGAACCCCTGAGTTCAACGCCATCTCCAATCTCCAATAAACGTAGAGTGGTTCTAACCATCTCTCATATATAATGTACCCACATCAAGTCTGTAGGTACGTTTCTCAACTATAACTTGCGCCATTGCTTCAATTCATTGATTGATCTAGCATTAAGTACTAACCTTATAAATCCTCCTTTGTTCCATCTTTTTAAAGAGCATCCTTATAAATCCTCCTTTGTTCCATCTTGTCAAAGAGCATCCTCCATTGTACAAGTTAGTTTCCATTTCAAATCCATTTTCTTCTGATTTTTTAAAGGAACAGTTTCTAAAAGCAAAGTATGCGTAGGATATTCCTACCTTAAAGAAAAATCATATCCGTACATAATAGGTTAAATAAGCATTTTACTGTTTTGAAAATGCAAGAGGCTGAGTTTCATTAAAGAGATTACAATTACACATAGCGCAATCAGCGACTATAAACTCACAACTACTTAACCTGAAGAGGAGATTATTCAAAAATCAAGACAATATCGAACTTATAACCCAAATTAGGTAAACCATTGAAAACCATGTTTTATTGCATTAAACATGGTGAATCAAAACATTTCAAAGATTACTCATCCATGAGCATCTTAGTACTCAACATTTAGCTTTAAGAATATTTTACTTTCACGCATGAATTTTTAACTTAAAGTTGGTGCAAAAATGCTTTCAATAATAACTTGAAAACTGTAATATTGACAGTCAACTTCATGTGAAGTTTATTACAGTATATGATCAACGGCAAAGATGGTTCGTTTATTTGCAACAGACTCCACAGGTCTTGAAAGAATAATGGTTCCTCCAACATAAATATATAGTCAAAACACATTAAATACATCTATACTGTATAAAAGAAATTTCCATCGAAATCCTTTTTGCCCTGTCCACTGGGTTCTCAAGGCATGAAATTTTATATATCTTGTTATTACTCCAGCTCCACAACCGGTGCCTCGTTGAGCCACAAGAAATGAATGAAATCATATAATTTTGCACTTACACTAACCTGCTTATTCAGAATATATTCAACATCATTCAACATGAAAACAATTACATAACTTTAAACAAGATATAATTTTCTAACCTTGTATGGAGTTGGGTTAAGTTTCCTCATGTGATCAGGTCGCATTTGCTCAAGTTGGTTGATGCATCGCTCTCTAATTTCCTTTAGAGGTGGTAACGTTTCCCTTGTTTTACCTTAAAAAAGAATAAGCAAGTCACAAACAAAATATAAAAACTGATAGTCAAAATCCGCATCTGCTGAATAAATGAACTGCCAATAAATGTTGAAAACCAACTTTATATATACTGTAGTGTTCCAAACTACAACCGGCCATGAGTGATAGAAATTAACCAATTCATGTAGGTATTTATGAACTGATAAATTTAGCAACTAGCATTTACATATGAGATTAGGTTCTTTTTATCTTACTAGGGGTGAGACGGTTCAAAAGTACAACAATACTTATAATAGTTGGTATATCATAAATCATGGGCTGTTCTTTAAAATGATGCAATACTTTCCACTACCCTATGGAAAGGTAAGTTTTTAATGCTACAAGTAAGCTACTACTATTAGTCACAGTGATTACCATTATTTTAATAGTTAGTTCTCACCTGATTTACCAGGCCAGTAACACCTTAGAAGCTCCTCAACACGCTGTGGCACGACATACGCTCTCTTGGATTCTTGGAAGGGATGACGGCACAAGATTCTTTCTCCTACCTGTATATGCATAAAATAGGATAAAGTAAATTTTATGCCTACATTTGTAAACTACCGTTCAACTCTTTGAATGGCAAGATGTGTTAGCCAATAGGCTGGAAACTTGACATAGCAGATGCAAGAAGAGAAAATGATGCAAGAATGTCTCCATTATGTTATGAAACAGAAGAAAGAATCCTGTGTTATGCAAGACTGGATCTATGTTATGAAACAGAAGAATATCAGGGTTTTGTCAATAGTTGCATCTACATTACTGGGTGCACGGTGGTTTTTCTTTCTCAAGCCAGCCTGAAGGAAACCCATACAAAATATGAAGGTGCCTTATCACTGTGCTAGACAATAATTATTTCAGTGTTAAGTCCAAGAAAATAAACAGCTACATGCTTTAACCAAACTGTTACTGTTATTCCGGAATTTCTCTCAACTTGGCATGCCGGTGAAGACATACCATGACATTTGCCAAATGCCAAAGGTGCAGAGTGAAAGCATTGCAACGAAATAGAAAAATAATAGTCAAAATAATACCTTTGGAGAGGGTTCATTTTCTCCAGTCATTATGTCTACCAAGGGATAACCTTCTTTCCCGAACAACCTATAGGATTTCTTTTTACACGGAATAGAGACCTAAATACCGGAAAAGATATTTCATTAAACACCAAAAAGATTATTAAACTATCAAGTTCAATTTAGAAAGTTCAAGTTCAAACCTTTGACACATCTTCAGAAAGTTTGATACGAGGCTGATTATTGATCTCAACCAGCTTGAAAACAACACCCAAGGCAGCTTGAGCATAACATGTGACTAGGTATGTACCAATTCCGAAGGCATCAACCTCATGACCCTGTAGAAAAAATTCAATTAAATCAAAAGAGCATGGTAAGAATTTATAAACCTTTGTTAATTTTATCTTTTTGCCAAGATTAATTAATATTATTATTTATAGAACAAAAGTGTTTTCATCTCAACACACATGACAAGAGAAAAAACTAAGACATTCTACCATATTATTTTGTTATGATTATGATATAATAATGAGGTGGGGGGATAAATCACTAACATGAGATTATTTAAACTATCCTGATTTAGTATTATATTCTTTTAGTAACTTGGATACAAAATATCATTGGAAATTAAGACTATGACTACACCCAGAAAAATTATATCACTATTTCCATGTTTAGCATCAAATCTCATTCAATGTAACCAAGACTCTTTAAGTGTAATGATTATTGTCATCACAATCAAGATAAGAAACCATGTTACACGTGCATGGAAAATAACTTGGTTGCTACAGTGGAGAATAATATAGTATATGTATATGTCACAAAAACTGGAGTATGGGAGGAAATACACGGCAAAAATATGATAGATTTCAGCTGTACTGTAAACAAATCTGTGAACTAAAATAAGCATTTAGTTAGTTTTGTATTCCTTAATTTTATATACAATAGTATCTTGATATGCATGTCAACTGTGCCAACTTAATAAAATCTAAAATCTCTAATAACTACCCACTTCTATATCAATTTAGTTTATTTTATTTAGAGGATGAAATATTTTGATAATGATCCCAGCAGTTTTATCAACTTACATTGAGATTCAAATTTTACCGAGCGTGAGGGATCATCTAATATCAAATCAACATTGAGATGATACATGAAGTATAAATTTATAAATGCAAATGAATACATGAGAAGTCGTCCATTAAATATTGTACCAAGTATGAACCAACAAAAACACGTACAACAAGTTCTCTGTAAGAAATTTGATGTCATGCTAAAATCACACAATTTGCACGCATACACATAAGCAAGGTATCATTGTATAGATTGTTCAATTGTTATGCCAAAATAATATAAATCACTAGACAAATGTGCAAGCTTCAGTTCGAAATGATTATTACTACCTGTTTATTTAAAGCATCTAATGTTTCTTCATTGAGGTCATTACTAGCAGTGATTATCAACTTCCCAAATCCAGGCATCCTAAATTCATTCTCAATGGAACAAAAGAACTTCCTGGCCTCACAAGACAAATATGCAAGGTCACCAGAATCCAATCTAATGCCAGCTGCTTTGTATCTGCACATGACATCATCTAAGGTCAGCTAGGAATATAAATGACAGGTTTTTTAAAAGAGTGAATGGATGATGCTTCCTTTGCAGGAAGAGCAGAAGGGTACTGTAAGACTAGTTGAAGCAAAAGGTCATTGTAATTTATCAGCTGTCAGCTATAAGACACACTAGTAAATCAACAATAAGCTGCTGCAATCATTAAATTGAAATTTGAAAATAACAAACACCATATCAAACACATAATATAGTACAGATAAATACTTCTCAATATAGAAAACACAGCAAATACTGGCAGACTACACAAACAAAACTAAGAAAATGTAAAAGTATAGTAAAAAAGGGACACATGATGCTATCAAACTGCTGCTATGAAAGCCTGTGGAAGAGTCAAGCCTGCAATGATAGGCAACCTCATTTTGCATTTAAAATATCAGCTGATAGTTAAGTAAGCAGTTCACAACATCAAGTAGATCCTTACAAATACCAAACAACTAGTACCTAATGAGTTAAAATACTACATAAAGCAGATTTTCATCAACAGCATTATGAGGGTTCTATAGCATCCAGAGTCCAGACTACTACTAGCAGTCGCTAACTTCCTATTGCCATATTCCTTGTACAACATCTATGTCAATATTATGGCAGCTTACCACTTTTCATACAAGTGCTAAGGAAAAAAAATGCAACAATGTACTTTAAACTAAAAATCAACTGGATAATGAACACAAAGAATTTCCATGGTCATGTAAAACCTCTAATCAACTGATAATAACAACATATAATTATCCTGACATACCCTAAATCACCAAGAGCTAATGCAACTGCACAGAAATTTGGGATTCCACTTCTCATCACCTGTCAACAAATGCAAATGTCATATATGATGAAATAGTCAAACAAAAGTGGGGGAAAGAATGAACCCAAAAAAGGTAGCAACTTCAGCACTGGTTATCAAACAAACTATCCCCAAACTGAACAGATGGCATAATAACTGGAATAACAGATTTTGCAATTGCAAACTAAAGATCTTCAACTTCAAGATGTACGATAGAATGATTAGCAGGCGCGCATAATTCGGAGAGAATTGAATGTTACAAATCCAAGACTGAAATTGGCAAGATATCAGTAGCTGACCTTACTCCTTAGGTGTGATTTATCACACAGCTCGCCCACTTTTTCAGTATCTGTCTTTGATGTACATGAACTACCCATTTAATCAAGTTACACTCGATTTGGATGAAGGCCCTGACCTGTGATCAGCATTTCTAAGTGTTCGCCACCACAGTATTAGCCACCCATCCACTCATCCGTTAAGCACATAACTAATGCAAATGATATGGTGATTCATATGTGAATTCGTGCCTTTTCATCCTAAGTCTTCAAGTAAGTTGCAACTTAATGTTATGCACATCTTCAGGGCAAGGGAAAATGGTGGAACACCTACCAATACCTAAATACACCTTTTTAAGTGCACAACCATTCACTCATCTTCCCATTACGTCATCCCCCTTGTCTTTTGCATCTTAAAGTCAAATTGATATAACATGATAAAAGAGATTATCCCACCTTACTTAGTTTCTAATAGTTTTCAATTTTATTGTTAGTGGTTGAAACTAGGAGCACACTTGGGGAAATAGGATGAATAGCACTTTCTCAGGAAACCAAAACGTCAAGAGTCATGTAGGAGGTACAAATAAGACTTACCCAGAAGCTTTTTCCATTGCTAGTTAAAATGATTTTAAGATTGTGCATGAAAGATGATTATTTAAGAAATATAAAGTTGGTAATAAAGTACTTACATCATAAGTGTCTACAAGGGCAAGAAAGTTATCAGGAAATGCCAATGCATATGACGTGAATGCTGCCAACTCACTTTGATTGGTCTCACCAAAAACACCCTTTACCAACTGCAAAGTGCAAACATGTATTAGAATATTCACCGATAAATCCATCTCTGAATTCGCAAGTGAAGTATTCAAAAGATAAACAAATGATAGAATGGTGGTAATCTTTCACAACTTTGGCATTAAATGAGCATTCAATTTTTTCAAGAGATAGGAAAGAATTAGCACAGGAGATGATATAATGAACTAAAATACCTTTCTCCTATCACATTATTATTACGTGCAGTTTAAACTAAATTATGTTAACTCAATCTACTAGTACTATATATACTATTGTCTTCTTCTTTTCTTGTTCTCTTACGCATATGGTTATATTTCAACTTTATAGGAAAAAATAAAAACAGTAATTCATTCTTGTGTAAAATGTTTAGAAAAGGAACTAAAGTCAATAACACTTTGCAATTTATTTTTGTCAATCCCATAAAATCATTCATATTTTATTTTCAAGATAATTACCCTGCAAAGCTTAACTTTATAGAAGATGACTCAATATTCTTTTAATGTTTTCTATTACTACATCTAACACATTGCTAGGCACGCTATTATTAGAGTGGTGTCATGTTAGTGTGTGACTCTCCTACAAATTTCCTTATAAGTCCTAAAACAATTCATTTTATCTGCCACAAATTGTACGTTATGGACCAAAATTGAATTATTTTATGGGAATTAACATATTTTGGAAGGATGGAAACCAAATAAAATTTTGTACAAGAACTAAAACCATTGCTTATTGTACAAGGTCCAATACACATTCAACTCATACTCTCAAAACAGAAAAACTGTATCATAAATTTAGACCCACAAAGATATTAAGATTCTAGACAAACCTTAATTAGAGCATAATCTCAAGAAAGTTCAAACTTTCCTTTGTAAAACAAAAATAAGAAAAGATAACAGTGTCCTAATATCCATAAGAGTACAAGATAAAAATAACATGTTAGATTCTTAAATGTAAGAAAAGATAACACTATGTTAAATAACATAATAAAACAATCATTCTAGATTAAAATCCTAATCCACATCAATGGGATTATCCTAAATTAAAATCCTAATCCACATCAATGGTTCTTGCATAAGGATGATTCAGACACACAACAAAAAGACAGAAACAGAGGGCAGTCAAGAGCTGCAATAAAAAACTGACAATAAGGCTATGTTTGAATATCAAATATTTAATGGAATTGGACGGACCATAGTGGAACAATATTACCATTTGATTGTTTGAATATGTAAGTGATTGAATAGATAGAATTTGTTCCATCTCATTCTACCCAAATTGGAAGGGAAGAAAGCAGAGTATTGAGTGAATAAGATGGAACATGTTACATTATATTCCACTTCATTCATCCTATTTCAAACAACCCAAACAAGGGAAGTTTTATAAATCCATTCCACATTGCACCATTCTATCTCTTTCCATCAATTCAAACATAGCCTAAGAATGTAAATACTTATTATATCTTAGCACCTTAATTTTGCTCAGCCATGTTTGAACTAGACTAACAAAATCTTCACATGTACTTGATCCATCTTTTCTGCGAAGTGATTTATCTGTAATCTCATCAAGGCTCTGCAAATCATGAGACAAACAAAGTAAAGGATACAAATAACTAGCAAAGGAAACATAATACAAGTGCTACAACTCATAAAAAATACAATAATAACAAAAATTATATCTAAAGGCACCTATTGTTATAAAATTACACAATTTCCTTCGTAAATATTGACCAAACATGTAACTAATTTCAGTGAATAGGTTACATACCATATATGAGCTAACAAAGGCATGGGAATGTGTACCACGAAGCGGTATTCCGAATAACTTCCCCGCTGCAACATTGCTATTTGCAAATTTGAAAAAGGCAAGTTATGAAAGGTCCAAGCTATACAAAAGCAATGTGAGAAATTGAAATTCATATGCCGAAATACAAAGCAATCAATCCCTATAGTTAACCCAACAAAAAATAAAATCACTCCCTCCTACAAAGGAGAAGCAAATTCACTCTTACCTTTCCAATTTGGGACTTTCAAAAGTGTGAATTTCAAGTGCTTACCCGTGCGTTCAAACAATTTGTGATCTTATCCAAGTGATTGAATGCAAATTAGTAAATATGTGTTACTACATTCAAGGAACTATGGAACTTAACTAGACGACCTCAAAATATAGTTTTTGGTTCGTCTCAGCATCATTGAGTTGTACTTAATTAATTACTCCAGTTGTATTTAATTTAAGTACTTCAATATTATAAGTGTATTTGTAATGACGATAGATCAATGGCAGAAGTGTGAATTTCAAGTCCTTACCATTATGTTCAAACAATTGGTGAACTTATCCGAGTGATTGAATGCAAATTAGTAAATGTGTTGGTACATTCAAGGAACTAGGGAACTTAACTAGACAACCTCAATAATATAGTTTTTGGTTCATCTAAGCATCATCCAGTTGTATTTAATTAAGTACTCCGGTTGTATTTAATTTAAGTACTCTAGTTGTATTTAATTTAAGTACTTCAATATTATAAGTGTATTTGTAATGACGATAGATCAATGACAGAAGCATAATTGACCATGAAAAGGAATAACAAACCTCAGGTTCCTTCCAAAAACAATAATAAAGAAACCAATACAACCATACAGAAAACTTTTAAGTGCTCACACACATTTTAATGGAATTGTGGCTGAAAATAGTGACAAAAAATCAACAATAAAAAGATAAACAATACAAAGTTCTACTACCACAGTTTGATAAGTAATGTTTAATTTTAATCCTTTCCCAGCATTTAACTTCCCTCCTACTTCTCATTTCTTTCTCAAAATCAATTTTGATTTACTTCTTTCAAGGATTAGGTAAGACATGTGTTTCAACTGACTTAGCTCTAGTGTCTGTTCTACAAACTTATGACTTGTGATCACAGATTTACCATAATCGATTGAACCATAGCCAAAAACGTTTGGCCCGTCAGAGTATATTTTACTGGATTCAGTTACAACATGAATTACATGTTGTGAAAAGTAGGATTGCATGCAATTTCATTTAAACTATACCATGCCATCTAAATCAATGGTAAATAAGATTGTTTGATTGATAATACCTTGTAGCATCAAATCCACCAAGATAACAGTACTTTGACGCTCCTACTCCACCATCAGGCCCCTACGTTCAAAATGGGTGTTTCTTTTGATGAATATTAAAGGAGGCCAGTACCTTATTTAACTCATAATGAAGTATTTGAAAAGACTGTGTAACCTGAGCCCTTCGTAGTCCAAACTCAAGTAAAGTTTTGGATTTTCCTGCAACTTTGCGATGCCTTGCAGCATTAGTAGAAACTAATGATGCAAAATTAATTAGATTCACAAAAGGAGTTTCCAATAATTGAACGGCCTGAACAAATATAACAGTCACTTTAATGCAAGAAATAGGTAATCTTCAAATCAAATCAGCATTAAAAAGGAGTATTAATGGTGGCAAATACTTACAGCAATTGGACCTTCAACTCTTAGCAAGGGTATCTTAGGAAAAACTACTGATCCCTCGGGAATAGCATACACCTCTACATCGGAGCAGTCCAGTCCTCTAAGATAGTCAAAGAACTCATCCTAGATTTAATGGATCATTATGGATAAGTCAAAATGTTTTGAAAGGAGAATCTACAAATAATGTCGTCAGCAGCATTATAATATCCACATAATGACAGCACACCCGATAACCAACCATATTATTGCATGTTTGGACTTGGTACAAAACTATTTAAATGGAAACAAGTAACAAAATAGTATAAAGAAGACAAATTCCCCTTGAACAAAGTTTCTTGACTCTTTATATCCGTCAATACAGATTTTCTAAAGTAAGTTTAAGAGATGTCTAGTTGAACATGCCAACACAGTTGATATCAATGATAAAATATAAGTGCAGAAAAAGATGAAAGCAGCGATGTTGTGTCCTTAAAAAGTATAATAATTACAAAGCAGCTTCTACATCTGAGGTTGCTAACAACATAGATGCATATCTTTGTCTCAAGAACTGTAAATAAACTGCCCTTTTAACAAGGATGTGTATCTTAACAATGTTTTCCAACTCTTAAACATTTGTAAGTTTGTTCAAATTTTGATATAAATCATAGATATAGTGCTGCTAAAACCATTGTTTGACAACATTTAGTACCAAATAACTTATCACGCAATATTAGATATTTGTTCAAATTCCACTACAGTTTAGCATTGTGGCGGCAATATTTAATAAAACCGGTCCATGCATCGCTACTTTCTATCTCCAACTCAATTGCAACCATCTAATTTCAGCTTTCTGTTATAAACACGTCATTTCCTACTATTGAAAACTTATCATTATCAGTGTTATACCTGAATTCACAATACTAGAAAACTCCAATCATTTTCCCATTTTTTAATCAGCATAACCATCACCATACCTAAACAACAATGCTATAGACAGAGCAAAAAAACACAACTTAATTTACCTCACAAGAAGTAGACAAACTTTGCCTAACAAAATCAATATCATCCTCAGTGAGTTTGAAATTAGCTATGAACCTTATGCATTCTTCCAAACCAGAAAACACAGTATACTCCCCACCAAACGGATTCTTCCGAAAATACAAATCAAACCTGAAACCAAATTACAAATTCACAAACACATATCAACAACACTAAACCTAAATCCTAAATTAATCAAATTAACAAAAAAACGCAGAAATCGCTCAATTCAGCAAAAACTAAAACCACAAAAAGTTTAAGCAACTCGCAATTCCACTGAAACTAAACATCAAGCAAATTGTAATAAAAATCATTAAAATAAAACAAATACTAACACAGCACGTTCTTGATGTTTGCCTGCTTTCCAATAAGCATAAGCCATGGTGAATTGATAGAGATCATTGAGAAGAGGCGTGACCATAGGGTTCGTAGGTCCATCTATGACTCCATTCGAAGCTCTCTCGTTAGGTCCGTTATTTTTCGCCTCCATCGTTTTTTTCTTCTTCTTTCTCTCTCTTACTGTGTGAGTGTTCGTTTTTGGTTTTGGTTTTTTCTGTTGACGATGGTTTCAAGTTTTTGTTGTTGGCGCTTTATTTATACATAGCCACAAGCGTGAGCGTGACGCATAATAATAATGGAGTAGAAAAAGTGAGGTAATCGGCCATTAAATTAAATAAGACTAAAGACTTGAACGAAGAAGACTAAGACTTGGTTGGGTGTTCATAAGCTGAACCAAACTAAAACAATTTTATAATCCAGTCCGGTTCATTTCCTAAACCCGTTTCAATAAAAATGGATTATTGTTGTAAAATCAGTTTGGATTTAGTTCGGATATAACTTAAAACTGGTTATCTTCTTAGAATGGAAAATTGACCTCAAGTTTTGTTCAAATATTTGCTTAAAATAGATAATTTTTTATTTAGATTTAATTTAAACTAAAGAATAATGTGTTGAAATAACGGTTGATTTTGTAGGAAATAAATCAGAAAGGTAGAGATTTACAATTTTTAATTTAATTTAATTATTAATTATGAAATTGATGAAGTTTGATATTGAAAGGTCGCAATTGTGTTCTTGTAATTTGAAGTTGTGAATTTAAACGGGCTGGTTTTTGCTTATTTTACTAACCCTGTTGGATTTTTAAATTTCATTATTTATTTTGTTACAAGTAATTAGTTTTTTTTTCACCCCTAACTAAGACCAGTTATTCTCTGAACAATGAATTGATGAAATTTTATTTAATATTAAAGATCATGATCAGATCCAGCTTTGTTGGTTGGTAGTGCTTGCTGTTTTCTACTAGGCAAAATGGGAATTGGATTGTTGGACATGGTCGATGGTTTATTTAATTTAGTTTTGAAAAAATGATTTTTTTCTTGGTATTTTCAATAATAGATTTTACATTTTTTTTTAAATATTATAATTTTTTTATATTTGTTTTTTTTTAAATTAAAAGATTAATTTGATATCTTATAACATAAACATATATTATTAAGATCAAGAGATAGTCGAAATCGCAAATTTTTTAAAAAATTGTATCTCAAAAATGATTTTTATGAAAATCTATTTGAAATAGTTTTAAAATTAAGTGATTTTTTGAAATTTTGATATCAAAAGTTTTTTTTTTAATAAAAAGATAAAACATCTAAAATAACATTTTAATAATAATTGTTCTGGACTGGACTGAGACCTGCCCCATAGTCGGGCAGGCCTAACCCATTACCATGTAGGAAGGCCCAACGAGGCTCAATCCTCCCCAGGTCAGGCACACTTGACTCTGCCGTCGGGGAGACCACTACTTGGCACGGGAAGAGCTCACATGTTCTCCCCACGGACTCCACGTGACCCCCACGCGGGAACACGTCATCAGACAACTAGCCACCTTCCGAAAGAACTGGTTAGCCCACCTTCCGAAAATCACGGGGCAGTTGATCCAGGGCAAAGACCACGTGTTGGTCTTCCCTACGCCACATAAGCCCTGACAGTTACTCGTATTAGGCCTTACGATCCAACCCAATGCAAAGTAATTGTTGGCCATGCGCTAGAGGCACATTATAAATACCCTTTTTCACTAGAGGGTCAGGTATTTCATTTTACACACTTAATCTCTCTATACTTGCTTTTCTAAAACTATGTTACTCACTTGTGCATCGGAGTACCTTGCAAGTACACCTCCTCCTCATCATCAACACCGGTGAACGCCAGAGCTCACGATGCGTGACAGACTGTTGATTTCTTTCTGATCAGGTAAGATCAGTGGCGCTGTCTATGAGAACCTTTTGCTCCCCGTTCTTTCTCCTATACAAGCGTAGAAGCTCAAGAACCAAAGTAACATCCAACTTCTGTTTGATCATGGGCAGCCCACGCAACGACTACGCTCCGGAAACCGTATTTTTCCCCTTCACCAATGGTGACGGCCACGATTCCAATGTGACTGTTCACGTCGAAAAGGGTGACTCCATGGACGGGCACACCGCTTAATGTAACACCCTCTTTTTATACCCCTAAATAACACAATTAAATCATTTAGGCACGAATTAAAAATTCCATCAGAGTACATTTATTTCATGGTATAAAAGAAGTGGGTCACATTACTCACGAAATGACCACATGAATATTAATGTTTATAAAGAAATAATTCAAAAGGGGTAAATCTCAACTAAAAAGAAATAAACGCATGGTTCTTAAAATGAGCATATTCATGTTTTCTGTTAAAGTGGAAGACTAAAACATTGAATTACTTAAGACATGATAAAATACAAGTACACGCCATTAGGTTGTCCATAACATCAATCACAGTTTACCAAACATCATCAACTATTACATATATAATGTATCACAAAGATACTCTACAAGCCTAGCTACCCGATGTTACATATCAGAGCGACCGACTCGAGAGAAAGGAGCTATACTCCAAAAGAAACCTCCGACAATCCTAATCTGCAATGCCTCATAGAGCATCATAAAACGGCAGAAGGGTGAGAAATATTACCATAGTAACAATGCATATAATTATGTATATAAACAATCATAAAATACATATATGCCACATTTCTCAATCAATTCACACACTCACCACTCCCACATCAACATATCGTGTATATACATATGCACACTTCTCTTAACAATCACATATACATTATGTTTCATTTATCACAAATCACATAAACATTTATATACATGTTTATTTTCATCAATGTATCATATAAAGATGATTATGCAACTCATAGAGACCGACTCACGACTCTATGCAGATGCAAATGCGGTACCGACTCATTTCAGCAGGTTCCATTGAAGAATCAAAAATAACCACCGCTCACACCCCACAAGGGCACACAAGGTTCTGCAGATTCTCCGAGGAATCAATATAACCATCGCAACATACGAGGTTCTGCAGATTCTCCGAGGAATCAATATAACCATCGCAACATACGAGGTTCTGCAAATCCACCGAGGGATCAATAAATAACCATCGCTCACACCCCACAAGGGAACACGAGGTTCTGCAAATTCTCCGAGGAATCAATCAACACAAGAATGCACACCATGATGCTTCACATGCAACATGACTCATGACACTTTTGAAATGCACACACGTTTACAAACATACTCATGCATTCGTCACATTCATCGCATATATTCATTATTTCATTCACACTATTCAAACATGGTTCACATTTACAATCCTCATACATCACATACCAGCACGTATATTCAATATGCATTCACATTTATAACTCACAATTCAACAATTTATACACATCAGAATCCTTCATACAACAATGATATTTATGCCATACGGCTCATATAAAGCTCATCAATTAATCACCAATCCCTTTTTAGGAGTATGTGTTAGAACACAGATTGGTTCTTAATAATAACTCTTTGTTTTGATGATAACTGTTAGGAAATTTTATATTTAAGAATTATATACTCTAAAATTTGTTTGAGAGTTTTACTGCAGATTGAAATGAAATTAACTCTCTAGAAGCAAATCTGAATTGTATACAAGAAGTTATCCTGACTTTGAAGCGCCAGATGCACTTATCAGAAGCATCTGAAGCAGAAGCATCTGAAGCTAGTCAGAAGATTCTGAAGCTAGTCAGAAGCATCTGAAGCTGAAGCATCTGAAGCTAGTCAGAAGCATCTGAAGCTGAAGCATCTGAAGCAAAGAAGAATATTGTTTGAAGAGTTTCTCAAAGCATTATTCTACAGAAGTTTCTGAAAGTACTAACGCTGCCAAGTACTGAAGTTCTGTATCAAATATGCTCTGATGATCAACACGCTGAAAGCACACATGCTGCAGAAGACTCTGATACAGCAAAGTTCTGAACATCATTAGAAGACTCTGATCCATTCAGACTCTGAAGAACTTGCTGAAAACTGAAGAAGAAATATTCAAGATTATATCCGTTGGAGTAAATCAACGTCTCTTTCCTCATTTGTGCTAGACACAATTACACAGACAAAAAGGATTTTTCTGTGCTATCTACTTCTAGGAAAGGTCACTTGATGTAAAGACAAAAAGGCTCAGACCTTTTTGGGACTCTCTTTTCAACGCTCAGCATCCTTGGATCAGCTGCCTATAAAAGGAAGACTTCACAACATTCTTCAGTTACACAATTTGCTGAAAAGAAATCATATTATTCTAAGCTCTCATTCTTTCATATTTTTCTTAGAATTTCTTGTACTTAAACTTAAGAGAAAAATCACTGTTGTGATAAAAGCTTTATAGAAGCATTAATACTCTTGTATTTGATTTACATTGATTGTAAAGGTTTTCCTTAAGAGGATTCATTTGGAATCAGTAGCTCTTGAGAAGACTAAGAACAGTTGTTCTTAGGTGTTACTATTGTAATCTGTTTGATTAAATAGTGGATTAAGTCCTTGTTGAGAAAGGCAAATCACTCTAGGAAGGGTGGACTGGAGTAGTTGTTTTAAACGAACCAGGATAAAAATAATTGTGTGATTATTTTAAGTCTTAATCTTTCATACTTATTCAACCCCCCTTCTAAGTATTATCTCACCTTCAGTTGGCATCAGAGCTCCGGTTCTGTGTGTGCTACCACTTAACAGTGTCAGTAAAGATCCAGAGAGAAATACTTTGATATATATTTATTTGTTACAATGGCTGATAATTCAATGTCCAATATTAACAATAAATATGAAGAAAGGGATAGGATCAGCACCAAACCCCCAATGTTTGATGGGGAGAAATTTGACTACTGGAAAGACAGAATTGAGAGTTTTTTCTTATGATATGATGCTGATCTATAGGATATAGTCATAGATGGATATGTCCATCCCACAGATGGGAATGACAAGAAGATTGACAGAAAATCTATGACAGATGCTCAGAAGAAAGATTTCAGAAATCACCACAAAGCCAGGACTATATTATTGAATGCAATTTCACATACAGAGTATGAGAAAATTACAAACAGGGAAACTGCTTTTGATATGTTTGAATCCCTAAAAATGACTCATGAG